GTCCTTCCTTCAAGGCGAGGCGCCAAGCAATGGGGAGGGCTTCTTTTAGCAGGTTACCCTTCTCTTCCACATTTTTAACATGTTTAAGTTTATGCCGTAGCTGGGTCGGCGTTGCCCACTCCCCCACCACGGGGTCCCACAGGTCCCCAACCGTGAATATCCCCTTTTTAACCCAAGTGAGCCAAGGGGAGTTAGTCGCTAGGGAGAAAGGTTGACCCGATTCTTGTAGGACGTGTGGGTTTCCGAAGAGGGGTTGCCTCCATATGTCATGCCACCTGTTTGGAGGACGTTTTCGTCGGGGGCCCCTGCGTCTCCAAAGTTTGATCATGAAGGGCCAGAGCGGATCTGCCTTGATATCCTGCTTTGTTGCATGTGCAAGGTCAGGCTCGTGTGGGAGCTGCGTTTGTTTGGGGGGCGATGGGACAGTCCAGCAATTGTTTGTCAGCCATTGGAGCGGATGGACCTTCCCCGGTACATCAGTTTGAGGGGCCAAGTTGGCCAGTTGCAGCAGGCAAGCGGCACCCAGGGGATATCATTTCCCATAAGCAGACGGATGAGGACTTTGAAGAAGAGTGCATCCACTTATCTTTCCGGATCCAGGATACCGAGCCCCCCTTTAGACCTGGGCTGTGTAAGGACGTCCCAGTTCACCCTGTTGATACAGCCCTGAGCCTTAGCGCTGTTTTTCCAAAGGTATGTTGTTAGGGCCCTCTTCAATCTAGTGTACTGCTGTTTTGTCAGCGACCAAACTGCGAGTTTATACTAGATGGCCGCAAGGATGGCACTATTAATTGCTAGAGCGCGTCCTACCAGCGATGTGTGGAGGCCCTCCTAGGTGGCCAGGCGGTCCACGACCATATTGACCAACCTGTCCCCATGGTCCGGGGGCGGGCCCTCCGCAGTCAATCGGACCCCCAGTATCCTGATGGCGTCGTCTTTTCGGGCCCATGCTACAGTCGGCTCAGGCGGGGGTGATTGCCCTTGAGGGTGGAGCCACCACCCCTCAGTTTTGGAACCCCAGTTGACCTTCATGTCTGCTGCAAGCGAGAATAGTTGGACAACATGGGTGAGGGCCTGAACGCTCTCCGGGTCGGCGCGTATTAGCACGGTCAAATCGTCTGCAAAGAGCTATGTGACTGGAATGAGATGTTGCGGGATGTCCGGGAAAGGCACTCTGCTGATGCCGGGGTGGGCTCTTATCATCGATGCGAGGGCCTCCGTAACAACCACGAACAGCAGCGGGGCAATCGGGTCTCCTTGGCGCACCGATCGTTGGAGGCGAATCGGCGGTGAGAGGTGGTCATTCAGCATCACGTTAGTTGTGGCCGACCTATGCAGAAGGTGCACCCATTGGCAGAAGCCCGGGCCGAAGTTGATTTTAAGCAAACACACGTCGAGAAAGTCTCAATCCACATGATCGTATGCTTTTTCGAAGTCAATGAAAAGGATCGCGGCTTGGACTTTTCGCTGTCGGGCATATTTTATGGTCTCGTTGACCAGCAGGATGTTATCCTGTATATTTCTATTGGGCATGAATCCTGTCTGGTCCGGGTGAACCAGCACATTCATGAACGGCAGCAACCTGTTAGTCAGGACTTTAGCCACCATCTTATAGGGGACCGGGAGAAGGGTGATAGGTCTATAGTTTCGTATATTCTCTTTATCACCTTTCTTATATAACGGAGTAGTCACGCCTTGACCAATCATCCCTCCAAAGGAGCCTTCTCTCTGCACCGCCTCGATGTATTCCATGAGATCGTCCTTAAAGAGGTCCCAGAATCGCACCCAAAACTCCTTAGGGAAGGAGTCGATTCCAGGAGTCTTTTCATCTTCCATGTCTTGTAGGGCATCCCAGACCTCCTGAGAGGAGATGGGTTTGTCCAAGGTGGCTCTTTGTTGCTGTGACAAGGAGGGTTGGATAGCCTGAAGAAGCGATTGCCTCGCTTGAAGTACTTGGTCTGGGGGTTTGGAGGGCGTCTCTGAAGTGAACAAGTTAGTATAATATCTCGCCGCATAGTCCGTGATTGCATATGCATTAGTTGCTGGCTCGGCGTTGTCATCCAGCGGGTGATTAAGTCTGGGAACTGTGGCTGCTCTAGATCTCGCTCGGGCTTTTGCAAAAAAGGTTTTGGCTATTGTCCCATCTGTGTGCTGTTTTTTTATTTTAGCCTGGATTCTCCATGCTTGCGCCTGCCGTTCGACATACTCCTGGAGGTGGTCACGGGCCTCTTGCAGCTTATCATAGGAGGGGCGGTGCAGCGGGTCGTTCATGAGTGTGTCATCCCAGTCTTCCAGCTTTTTCATAAGGCTTTCGAGGCAAGCTTTGTGGTCTCTCGCATGCTGGATGGAGAATTTCTTAGACCTCTCCCTTAGCTGCGCCACTCCATTATTAAACCAACTCACTCTCTCCCCTGAAGCGGGTTTCTGAGTCTGCCAATATTCCCAAAATTCATTGACCAGTTTTTTAAAACTGGGTAAGGGAAGCAAGGAGGCGTTGAGCTTGTAAAACTCTGACCCTCGCTGGATATGGTTATGAAATGACAGGCCCAGCGTTACCATCCTATGATCAAACGACTTACAGGGGCTAATTGTCGTTATTTCCGCCGTCGTGACGAGACCCATCATATCGTTTGATACCAGCGTGAAATCGATTCGTGAGTGGGTCAGGCCTTGCTCACCTCTAGACGACAGGCAGGTGTAGGCTCTGTGAGTAGGGTGCAGCTGCCTGTATGCGTCCACAAGCTGCCTGTCTGCCATGAGTTGTTTGAGGAAGCAAATGTCCGGGGGCTGCACGAACATTGAAGAGGAAGCATGGTCCTGGTGTGCATTCGTGGATCTTTTATCCAACACTGGGTCCAGTGTGGTATTGAAGTCTCCTGCAAGAATAAGCGGGGCGTCATCAGGTAGAGCTTCATGTAGGGTGAGCCAGAAGTCCACCTTGGCGGCACTATCATTGGGTGCGTACACGCTGGCCAGATAGGAAACCTCTTCGTCGTATTGCAGTTTCAGGCAAATCCACTTGCCGTGCAGTTTGTCATGTTGGACCTCCAGAGGTTTCAATTTTGAGGACGGCGGAAGCCAGATTGCGACGCCTGCAGACGCTCTTTCGCGTGCAGGCGCCTCGTGTAGTGTGTACGGCCAAATCGCTTTTGCCTTCGCATTGTGCGGAGATGTGTCTTGCAGGTGAGTTTCTTGGATGCATATTGCATCCGGCCATGATCTAGTTTCCGAGCACCTGAGCATGTCCCATATGGCGTCCTTCTTAGGTGTCGTTGCTTGGATAAGGCCGTTGACATTCAACGAGCGTATGTCAATATCTGCTTTTTCTAACTTTGACAGCCAATGGGGCTTCCTCCTAATAGGGGGGATCGTCACTGGTGGCGGAGGGCATTGGACGAGGGGGGGGGGGGGGGGGGGGCCATCGCGGGGGGGGGGTCCGGGAAGGGGGGGGGGGGGGGGGGGGGGGGGGGGGGGGGGGGGGGGGGGGGGGGGGGGGGGGGGGCATCGGGCCGGGAGGGCGGTCTAGGTCAGGCGTCGCAGTGCAGTGGCGGGCGATGGGGTGTGTAGACGAAGCAGCAGCCGGGTCAGCAATGTGCTGCGGCCTATCTGGTGGACAAGACGGTCGGTGGGTTGTCGAGGGTTGGTGGCTTGTGATGGCAGCGGCGCGGTCCGGTGTCTGTCCGGGCGGATTCATAGTTGAGTGTGTATTTTTATCTCTAGCGTATATGCGCCGCAATCGATTCAATCTACAGTCTTAATTGGGAGAACAAAAGGCGGGTCATCCCACTGGTTATGTTCATCCAGTATACTGTCCTCCATCAAGATTTGCATGAACCATAGCACCCTGGTCGCGGTCCAGGCGAAGTTTGTCCTAAATCGATCCGCTGGCAGGTTCATTATTTGTTGTTGAGTGAACCATGTGTGTGATGTCCTTGCCTTCGGGCTTGCAGTCTTCGGACTCATGAGGACGATAACCGGGATAATTCCCTCGGGCAACGACAACGAGCGTGGCAGCACAGCGCCTTGGACCTCTTCTAGTTGCGTCTCGCTGCGCCAATATTTGAGGTGTTTTAAGATTACTGCTGTAGAGGGGCGACCTCTCCATCCCTCCACCGTGAGGCCATCCGGGTCCGGGGGGTGGTGCTGGGGACGGTCGGGGGGGGGTCTAAGACCCAACAACCATTGACGTCCTTCCTTTTGTCGGGCCACCGGTAGTATGATCACTCCCGGTGACATATGTTTCGGGGAAGTACCGTCGGTTATCAGTCTGACCCGATCCCGCAAAATTCCTTTGGGAGGCTGATCTTGCTCATCATCCTCAGAGGTGGATGACCCGTCTTCTTCGTCGTCGTGAAGAATCATTGGTCTTCGGTGGCCCCAGACTGTGTGGCTTGTTGACCAGCATCCTGCGGTTGCGGTTCCCATGTAAGGCGCTGACTCTGTCGTTGTTCCAGTTGGGTGGGTGCAGCGGTCTCAGGGCCATGGAGGGTAGTACTGAGCTCGTGGACCAGCGTTTTGGGCCATGCCAACCCTTCGTGGTAGAATGCCTCAACAGTGGTTGAGCCTTGCATTTCCTGATTGTGGCCGAATGTAGTCTCTGCATACTGCTGTATTTTGTTCAGGAATTCGTTGACCACCAGGACTATTGCAGCGCCCACATCCATCCAATCTATAGCCTGCACATTGCTGTACTTTTCAACCGTGGCCAAGACCCGCGGGGTGAACATGAGGACTTCCTTAGCCTGGGCCCAGTGACGGGTGGTGAGTTTGCTCTGTGACCCCTCCTCTGTCATGAAAAATATCTTATTCAGGGTCCATTCAGTGAGGAAAGCCAGTTTTTGCTTGACCTCCTGATCGTGTGCTAGTGGAGGAGGGGGGCGAGGTGGGCTATCCGGATGTGAGGGAGCCACTGCTTGGGTCATCACAGTGTCCTCTCCCCCTGAGCCCGCCTCCAGACTATGACATTGCGTTGTTTGTGGCACCTCGTCTGGGGCCGAGGTGTCCATGTCTTGTACGTTTTGTGCATCCACAGTGTGAGGCGAGGGGTCCTATGCCGCTATCTGGGGGCATTGCAGTGTGTGGCTCTGCTGTTGTTGTTGTTTCTGCATTTCCATCTCATGCTGCCAAAATTGTTGTAGCTGCTGCTGTTGTTGCTGCAAGATATATTCTTGTTGGCAGCAAAGCTGCTGTTGCCACTGCAGATGCAGCTGCTGCAATATTTGCTGCTGGTGCAAGACCCTTTGTTGATGCTGCTGGTGGTGGTACTGTGCCAGCTGTGCTTGCAGAAGGAGGCCTAGCTGGTCAGCACAATCTGAGCTATGTTGCACCTGTTCGTGCACCGCATGTTGCTGCACGTTTTGCACGGTCTATTGCAGCGGATGCAACTGTTGGTGCTGGTGGTGCAACACCACTTCGTGCACCTGTTCGTGCCCCGCATGTTGCTGCACATTTTGCATGGTCTGTTGCAACGGATGCAACTGGTGTTGCTGGTGGTGCAGCACCACTTCATGCACCTGTTCGTGCCCCGCATGTTGCTGCACCTGTTTGTGCCCTGCATGTTGCTGCACGTTTTGCACGGTCTGTTGCAACGGATGCAACTGTTGTTGCTGGTGGTGCAACACCACTTCATGCACCTGCTCGTGCCCCGCATGTTGCTGCACGTTTTGCACGGTCTATTGCAGCGGATGCAACTGCTGTTGCTGGTGGTGCAACACCACTTCGTGCACCGCATGTTGCTGCACGTTTTGCACGGTCTGTTGTAGCGGATGCAACTGTTGCGGGTGATGCACCACCACTTCTTGGAGATGTGGGGCTGCCATCATCTGGACCTGTTGTTGTTGATGCAGCTGATGTTGCTGTTGTTGATGTGTCAGCGTTTGTTCCTGCTGGGCTGCCTGCTGAAGATGTTGTAGCATCCACTGTTGTTGTATCTGCTGTGGCAGGACGTGAGTCTGGTGCTGCGGTTGGTGCATTGCATGCAGTTGGAGTTGTGGGTCTGGTTGGTGCTCCATCTGCTGCGAGTGGTCCAGAACTTGGTGCTGCTGTTGCTGCATCAGGCCGTTTTGTGGCTGCAACGTCGTGTGCAGCACCTGCAGTTGGGGTTGCTGGAGTGGCTGTTGGGGGCCTGGCTGTGGCAGCCTCGGGCATTGCTGTTGTGAGGAATAATCCTCAGGCTTAATGTCTTGTACATGTTGGGGTGGCTGGTGCTGCGGTCGCTGCGTTGATTGCAGTTGGAGTTGTGAGAGCTGCATGTGCTCTATGTGAGGGTCTGGTCGGTGCTGCATCTGCTGCGGGCGGTCCCGAACTTGGTGCTGCTGTTGCTGCATTAGGCCGTTTGGTGGCTGCAACGTCGTGTGTTGCAGTTGCAGATGAGGTTGCTGAGTGGTTGTTGGTGGCGTGGTTGTGGCAGCATCGAGCCTTGCTGTTGTGCGGATTGGTCCTCAGGCTCGATCTCTTGCACTTGTTGGGGGCGATGTCCAGTTACAGCATCATGTTCAAGTTCCAGCTCCCGAATTCGCCGCAATTCCTGCTTCGGATTCCGAGGCAGATCAGGAGGTAGAAATTTGGCTTCCCCCGTTACTTGAGAGATGACCATCCTTGCGACAGGGCGGCCAGGGCCTGGCGACTGATCATGCAGGTCCCCTTGTTTCTCCGTCCTCAGTTGGGGTGTATACGCCCCTCCGTTCTCTTCTTGGGGGTTTGTTTGCAAACGGCGCTGCTGGTGTTGGGGCGGCGGGGGCTCCGGGTGCTGGGGGAAGGCATCTTCTTTGAGTTTGTTAAGCAGGGAGTTGGCTTTGAGCCACACCTCCCTGGGTTTGGATCCTTTGCCTGCGTCGTCCTTGGAAGTTGCTTCCGTAGCCCGAGGTTTGTAATTTGCCGCCCCATCAGTCTGTGCCTTTGAGATCTGCCACTCCTGCTGCTGGGGCCGGGCTATGTCCCGTGCGAGGTGGGTTATCTCTGAGTTCTTGGAGGCCAGGGGGGGTGCAGAATGCAGTGCACCTCCGGACTGAGGGGCACAACGCGTTCCCTTGGATTGGTGTTGTGGGGGGGTTGCAGCAGTTCCATGCGCTCCCACCTGTGTTCCCTCGGATTGGTGTTGTGGCGGGGCAGCGTCTGTTCCATGTGCTCCATCGACACCCACCTGATGCTGTGGTATCGCCTCCCCGGATCGTGTAGTAGTTATGTGTGGTTGCACTGTCTCATCCTTCTTTGCCAGGGGGGAGTCTTTTTCCTGCTGCAAGAGCAGGTTTTGCTGCAAGGTCAGGGCTGTGGGTGTGGGGGAGTTCGCCTCCCCTTTAGTCTGAGCCTTTGAGATCTGCCATTCCTGCTGCTGGGGCCGGGCTATGTCCCGTGTGAGGTGGGCTGTCCCCAAGCTGTTGGAGGGCAGGGGAGGTGCAGGAGGCAGTGCACCTCCGGACTCAGAGGCACAGCCCGTTCCCTTGGATTGGTGCTATGGAAGGGCAGCAGCAGTTCCATGCGCTCCCACCTGTGTTCCGTCGGATTGGTGCTGTGGCGGGGCAGCATCTGTTCCATGTGCTCCATCGACACCCGCCTGATGCTGTGGTATTGTCTCCCCGGATCGAGAGGTAGTTATGTGTTGGTGCACTACCCCATCCTTGTTTGCCTGGGCGGAGTCTTGTTCCTGCTGCACGAGCAGGTTTTGCTGCAAGGTGAGGTCGGTGGGTGTGGTCTTGTGCTTGCCGGGGGACAACCCTTCCGTATATCTTTTGTGGTGGTTCGCATCACCCGGCGTTGTCATAGATTTTGGCTTATACGTCTGGTGTGGGGGAGTCACCAGTGGCTTGGATGACACAGGCGGGTGAGCGTGCGGTGCTGGTTGTTTGTGCTATTTGTCACCAGCATCATTTTTTGACAGACTGTGCTTGCCACCCCCATGTGTGGTATCCTGCTGGTTGTTCGGGGTTTTGTCCGCACCCTGGATTTTCTGGTGCCTGTCTCTTATACACATCTAGATGTGTATAAGAGACAGTCACAGGCGGGTGAGCGTGCGGTGCTGGTTGTTTGTGCTATTTGTCACCAGCATCATTTTTTGACAGACTGTGCTTGCCACCCCCATGTGTGGTATCCTGCTGGTTGTTCGGGGTTTTGTCCGCACCCTGGATTTTCTGGTGCGGTGGTGGTTGCATATGCTGTTTGTCACCCTCGTCGTCTGACAGACTGTGCTTGCCCTGTCTCTTATACACATCTAGATGTGTATAAGAGACAGGGATTTTCTGGTGCGGTGGTGGTTGCATATGCTGTTTGTCACCCCCATCGTCTTTCACCGGCCTGTGCTTGCTTTCCCCATCTGTGGTATTCTGCTGGTTGTTTCGGGTTTTGCCCGTACCGTGGGTTTCCTGTTGTTTGCCTTTTTGTTTGCGAATCACAGGGATGACCAGCTCGGCGCCTGAAGGAGACGCTGCGGGCTTGCCCCTCCCCTGCCATATCCACTGGCCCGGGCGACCGTCTGCATACGCCCTGAACATCCAGCCCTGGAGTTCCTTCTCCTCTGGATACCATTTCTCCTCATCGTCGGGGTGCGGGGTAACAAGTCCCTTGATTTTCAGTTTACGCTCATTTTTTGGGCATTCGTTATCTTTCTCAATGTTTCATTCAAAGTACCGCCAACTACATACCCAGAGATTCACCCAACTGTTCTCTCACACCTTTGTTGCACACAACTTTGTTACACAAGCTGTGAACTATTGTGCTAACCATTCTCACTATGTACTAAAAAGAACTCTAAAGGTCTCATACAACATATTATACAAAGAAGGTAGAGAATCACAACATCGGTGGGCTGTCCAGCTGAGTGTCCACTCTAGCCAGGCCCGAGAAAGCATCCCATCTGCAACAAAACCACTTGATAGCCTTTGCTGAGAAACTCTTTTTTTGCACCCGGTACTCCCAATCTGCCGAGATAGCCTGCTTGATAGCGTATTTAATTTCGGCCCTCACCATTGGTGGTGTAAGGTGTTCCTTCTTCCGCACTCTCACATTTCGGAGGTTCCATAGGGTCCACAGGATGGCACCTCTGATTGTCTCTTCCGCATGGGCAAATTGTACCTGTATCGCAGTTCTCCTAACTGCCGTCCCCATGAGGATATAGTTGTCCCCCCAACGGGTGTCCGCTCCCGGAATCGGGACATCCGATTGTCTCCACCATTCCCAAAAGGGTCTGGAGAGTTCACATTGCAGCATAAAGTGTTGAATATCTTCCATTCGGGTTCCTGGGCATATTTGACATTCAGATACAGCCTTCGCGGTTCTTTAGCACACCAAGTGTTGACCGGGAGTGCTAAGTGCATCAAGAGCCAGAGTGTGACGAACCAATTTCTGTTCTGCGCGATTTTCTGTGCGATGACAATGAGGGGTCATGAGATGGGAAGGATGGGCCAATTACGGGAGATCGGGATCGAAGGGAAATTGCATCGGTGTCCTCGTTTTTTCGTCTTTTCTCTTTCGTCGCTTCTTTTCGGGTGGCTAGGTTCAGGGCCGTGCAAGTCTCGAGATGGCCGATTGAGTGGCTGTCGCGCCGACAAAGGCGCGAATAATAATGTTTGACGTCGCTTCTTTCTTGTTCTGTTGTCGGGTCTTAGGCGCGGAGGTCGCGCGGGAATTTTGCTTCGTTCTTTTTTAATTTCTTTTTTGAATCTTGTCGAGCCTTGACAGCTTTCGGAATTTCGGACTTTCTTCTCAAAATTTGCGTTTTATTTCTTTTTGCAATAAATTTAGGAATTTAGGAATTTTGGAATTCGGGATTTCTTTTGCCGCACGTTGTCTTTCTTGCGCGCTTCTTTTTGCGGCTGGAACGGAACTCTGATTAGTCGGCGCCCTTAATCTTGCAAGTAACTGAAATTTTTGGTAGGCGTCATTGTAACTGTATCTTTCTTCTTGAGCTTCGTCTTTCCCGCTCTCTCTTTCTCTTTTGCTGTGCCTAGTTAGCCCCGTGGCCAGCATGCTCGGATCGATGTGGGGAGAGTGGCTATGTCCCCCACACCGCGGTCTGGCCATGCAGAACGTAGGCGCTCCCTCTCCTAATCTTCCTTCTAAGTCCTTATAATTTCATGTTCTTCGCGCATGCATGCACGTTATAAATTCCGGCTGCGCGATTAGATAGCTCTCTTAACCAGTTGTTGGAAGCTCGGGGTAGTGCGATCAGTGAGGGTCGGCTCACGGGCAAAGTAAGAGGTGAGTTGAAGTAGGAGTCGGGCGACCCGACGGGCTGGTGCCGAATGCTCGGGGTGGACGCGTGGGGCTATGACGGACTGTAGCGCGAGGGCGAACCTGACGGGTGCAGGTGGACTAAGCGAGGTGATGACTTCGTGGGTTGGTGCGTGACGACGGACTTTCCGCAT